TCAATGATGTTTCTAATCAAACTAAAACAAACCCTTCCCTCTCTTCTCCCCCAGTCCCAAATAGCTGTTGTTATCTCTAGGGCTGCCTCCAGCAATGTATCTGAATGCTCTCAGTGGAGGGGAAGTCTGTGAATTCACACTAGGGAGTAGTAGTCTCTATATGAAAAGCTGTGACTACAGCAATGACCTGCTGTTCTGGGTTGGTCACTGTTAAGTCAACCTCAAAACACAAGGAAGACCATGTAAATCCTTTGGGGCAAAGGGTTTTGCTCCATTTCGCATCACCCGCATGCAGGAGTATTGCTTGCAGATGTTTTTTGCAGAGCGTACAATGCCAACTGGAGAAAAATCTGCATTTCAGAAGTAGTTGTTCTATGACAATCTTGAGCAAAGGGTTGAATGTATCTTTCCAAAAGATTATCCTCCAACTGGAGGATAATCCTCCAAAAGACCTCCAACTGGATTCACCTCTTGTAAAATGTGGGAACAGACAGTGTGTTTAGATTACGGCAGAGTTGAAGCACGTGCTGCTAACTGAGATGCAAAGAAGGAGTAAACAATGACTTAATGCCATTCCTGTTTCACAGAGAGCCATAAATATGGGGAGAGAGTTGCTGAGTAAGGCACTAATGCAGCAAGTGGTAGAAATGAATCAAGAGGTAGTGCCACTTTTATAAGGTGAAAAGGATTGAGGAACAGACTGACCAAGCAAAAAGATGGGGCTGAGATCAACTGAACGCGAACAGACTTCTTGGATTAAGTGGCCATTCCAGTGCAGCCAAATGCTATTAACGAACCTGTGTAAGAGGAATCATCTTTTATATGGAGGGGATAAACAGTGTGAATAATCTTATGTAGTCTATGATTTAGCAAAGCTGCAGTGAACTAGATACCAAGCAGGGATGCCAGTAGGCATTGGAGATACCTGAAAGTGAGAGAAACCAAGCAGAAACCGTTGCAGCCCAAGTTAACAGCACAACTGGCACGCAGAAATGAAGTGGGAAGCAAAGGTGACTTCAAAACCTATACGTGGATATCCTCTTTTCTGGACGTGACCACTGGGGCAAGGTGAAAAAATCTCCGCAAAAGATTTTGAGCTTTCGTAAAATTTCTCATCTTAATCGAGATGAAAAGTAAACATCAGACAGTGATGAGGGCACTAACAAGCTTCACTGCATACACAAGACAAAACATTGTTTTGTAAATTTTAATTTCAATTTTCATCTTGTTACTCTGCAAACCTTTTCAGTATGAATTAACTAAAATTGGGAAAATAAGTAACAGATTTTTCCGTATAGAGCTGTCAAAACTGAGTACGTTAGACATTTTCAAAACCAACTTAAAAAAACATTTTAAACTGAGATTTTTGGTGTCTTGCTTCTTTTAATTAGACTCCTGTCATGTGCATGATATAATTTTTGGACAACTTTCCATTTTCTGACCGTAACCCAGGAATGCTCCACGGCAGAATTTCCCAGTGATGACTGCTGGCTGTTGTATTGCAACAAACGGTGCCAACAGCCCCGGGTTCAACAGCACACAGCACTCTCATTCAGCACCCACCTGACCTGGCCGTGCCCTCTGAATAACGTGCCAGCTGGGTGCCTCTTCATGCCAGGGCTATTTTTGGTGGGCAGTGCTGCCAGGGCAGTATGAAAAGAGCTTTGTCGGAAGGGAGCATCGGGGCCATGTGAGCCTGGTTCTTCTCGTCAAACATCTGTATAGACATTTCCATCATAAAACATGGGTGGGAAATAATACCTTCTCAAATGATGTGGTTTGCACTTGCCTCCTTAAGGTAAGTGGCAACTAAACAAATGTCTTCATTTTCTTCTCTTTCTGTCCCAGGGAGATAAAGGCGTGACTACTGCTTTATTCCTTGTTTTCTCATTGGTCCCTGGGCTAAGTAAGTCAAAATATTTCACTTGCTTCACTGGTAGTATTTTTCCTCCCTTTTCCCAGGTTTTAGTGACTTTACCAGGTGCACGGGGGGCAGTGAGGAATAAAGCCCCGTGTTCACACAGCTTCTCCTTGTCTTTCCGCTCACTGGTGAAGGTGTACCAAAGCCAGCCGGAGCTGGCTGCATCAGCGATATGCAATCTCACAGCCCAGCCAAGTACAAATAACTCATTTGTGTCGCTCTTGAGAGGTTGCTGAGGATTATTCTCTGTATCCTGAAAAGAAGTGAAACCTAATGACCTGGGAAAGCGTGTGGTGTAGGGGAAGCAGGTCCCTGCCAGGTGGAGGTGGCTGTAGCCAGGCCCTCGGGGTTTGAAGAAATCTGTCAAAAGCAGCTTCCCTTCCTAAATCCTGTCAAGGAGAAGGACATTCTGAGCAGAGTGACATTCCACCCACGTTTGGCTGCCACCGGGTTTCATTTCACTATCTTCTCCCCTGCCCTCCCCCATTTTAAAACTGAAATATCACATCCAACAGAAATTTAACCTGACTGTTTGAAACGCAAACCTGAAACGGGGAAGGGGGACCCTGCCATGGTGGAGCATAACACTGCTGAGGAGCACCGAGTGTCTGCATGATGCTGGCTTTGCCCTGATGGTGCCCCCTGGTCTTGGGAAGGAGGAAAGAATTAATGGCACCAGGGAAACAGGAGAGTGATAATTTATGAGATCTCCAGGATCCCCGGTAGTGTTTGGGTATATACTGAGCCGCCCCTGACCTGGCAAAGATCAGTGCCTTCAGCAGGGAGGTCATGTGGGGACCACACAAACCCTCATCACACCACCAGGCTCTGTAGCATCATTTGCACAGTTGGAGATCTCTGTGCCTTCCCTTCCCGGGGGACCCCACGGATTCGCACATATAGGGTAAAAGAGAGTTACCCATCTCTGTGTCTCTCAAGGGTGGATTTTGTTGTGAGGGAGTGGCAAGTGCACAAACATAAGCTGCTAATAACAGAACTTGGGGATAAAAGGCTACCTCAAAGCAGGATCATCGATGTAACTGACTCCTGACAGGCACTCACTCTTGCCTGTAGTTAAAAATCACAACTTAGGAAGTCTGAAGTTTTCCCAAATGATCTATTCCATAGCTCCACTGTTCCTTACTATTAGAAATCCTGTAAAAAATGTCTAACCTGAATTTTCCTTGCTACAATTTAAGCTCCTTGCTTGTCACGTCCGCCTGGAGTCTGGACAGGGCAGTTCACTCCTGTTCTTTTTTTTATCAGCCACTTACTGTTTCTGAAGAGTGTTACTGTGCCTCTCTTCAGTCTGTTCTTCCTCAGACTAAATATGTTTATTCAACCTTACATCATAAATCAAGTTTTCACAAAGTGGGCCATATTTTTTACTTCATTTTTCCTATTTCTCCTTCATCACATTTTCTTCATCTTCTCTTTACTTGACACTTTATCTGCCCCCAACTCTTTACCCTAATCTGATTCTATCCTTAATTATGTTCTCCTCTATCATTTTTTTTGACTTTGTAACAGGTCTTGTTCTGGAATTTGCATTTCTTCTTGTTCTGCTTTGCCTTCCTGCTTTTGCAAAGGATGATCTTAAAGTATTGAAATATTGTCTGTCTCCCTGGTTAGAAGAGAAGCACAGACTGAGCACAACTTTACCAGTCAGGAGCTCCTAAGCTGTAGCTCTGGCTGAGCAGCAGCTTGTCTTCAGCGCAGCCCCAGGCAAGGTAGCCGACCTTCCCTTCCTTTTGAGCTTCTTGAGGACCTGAGTGATTTTTAAAATTAGGGTAGTTTATTGCAAGAAATAGGAAAAAAAAATAATCTAGCACTAGGCTGAAAATTTGAGCTAGTTTTGGAAAACTATCAAGGTTTCCTAAGCAGCTCACATTTTTCTAGTCACAGGGAGTCTTTAACATCACTTTAAAGGATCACTCCAGAAATGGGAAGCTTAAGTATAATTAGCGCTCACAGACTTCAGGGCTGTCATAAAGCTGAAGGAAATAATAACAAAAAAGATTAGGTGCTGTTATGTGTCTCACATCCACAAACCAGTATTGTCAGTCTTAATATTGAAGAGTCCTTCTGAGCTGTCACAGGCTGTTGGCTTAGTTTTGTTTGTGGGGTTTTTAATGTCTTCATGCCAAAACCAGCTCATGGGTATATTGCCCAGTATTGCACCTGAATACATGCAATGTCTTCTGAACTCATGTGTTAAGCTTCGCCAGCCACAGCTACACACATTTGAAAGGCAAAGTTAATGATTTTAAGTAAAACTAGGGATCTTTATTTATGCAACCGATTAAAAGATAATGAATTCTTATGAAAAATTTCATTTTGTTCGTTAAAAAATACTGTGTAAGAAAGCGCCAGGGCTGGATATTGTTTCCGTG